CTTTAAAAAAATATTTTCACCAATAATTTTTAAGGCCCGAACTACGTGGGCTTCAATCCCCATCACAGGGTACGTAAGCTTCAAAGTTAGATTCTGAGTCAAGTCCTCCCTCATAAATAAATAAATATTTTTCATTTAATTCTTATCATTTTTATATCAAACACATAAATATAAAAAGGATAATTAAAATAATTTTAAAACTATATTAATATAGCACAACAAACTTCAGAAAAATATTTATAGGGTGTTGTGGGGTGCCTAGCACCTTCCCCACACTCAATCGACTCTCGAACTTTTAATTGGTTTCTTAAGATTTCCTCAAAATTTTGGTGGCAACTCTCGTTCCATCCGTTTCCCACCGTGAAGGCTGGAACCTCCGCTCTCATATCGTCCACGTCGCATTTTTTGGGTGCAACAGGAGGCAATTTCATTTTCCAAAAGATTTTCCATGAAAAGTAAAGAATATTGAAAGGAGGATCTCAATTAGATTCAGTTAGCCACTTATAACCCTCCTTAACAGAATCATTACCATTGAAGTTAATAGTCCAGACCAAGGAATCTTCTTGATTAGTAAAAGATAATGGTGTTTGCAAAATTTGTAAAGCTATGGTAGGGCGCTATAAGGAAAATATTAATTGTCTATTCCAAAGAAAATGAGGGTATAGTATATGACCTTCATTCTTTGTACAAAAGGAGGAAGATTTGACTTTTGCAAAAGCCATGAAAGCTGACTCTTCAAAGAACTAGATTTTCTATTACCCACTATCCATTTCAAATTTTGCAAAACCATTTAACTAGATGCAAAAAGATTTCCAAACCGTGAAGCACTAGCCTTGGCAGAAAAATTCATAGTATCCTTATCCTATAGATATTTAACACAAAAAACTTTACTCAACAAAGAATTTGGTCTATCTATTGTTCTCCAAGTGGTTTTGGCAAAAAGTACCTAGTTAAATAAATTAATGTCTCCTATGTTCAAACCTCATCTATTTTTTGGACAACAAATTTCAAACCATTTTAATAAATGAAAAGTTTTAGACTCTCCACCATGATCCCAATATATATATATATATATATATAATTTTCATCGTAAGCCTAGTCAAAAGGATTTTGGAACGCGACAAAAGGACAAAGGATAAACCAATATAGAATTTATAGTTGATTCTATCAAGGTTAATCTCCTCATGATAACAATCTAGCCTTCCATAATTGAAGCCTATTTTCCAGTTTTTTTTTTTTTTTTTGCCAACTCGTGAAAGATTTCGTGAGAATTACTATAATTATCCACTATGACTCCTAAATACTTACCCAACTGATTTTTGTGTCTAACTCCAATAGAATGAGCCAAAAGCTTTTTTTGTTTACAAGGAATAGAGGGACTAAACACAAGACAGGACTGATTGTATAGTTTATTTGTTGTCCCGAGATTTCTCCATATCTATGTAGAAGTACTTTCATAATTCTACAATCACTCTCAGAAGCCTTACAAAAAAGCAAGGTTTATCGGCATACATAAGATGAGTGCTAGGTATATTGTTGCCTGAACTTTTTAGTCCATGCCAGTACCCATATCAATTTTCTTGTGAAATCATACAAGATAAAACATTAGCACCCTCATTTTCTTTGGAATAGACAATTATTGTTTTATTATGGTACTTTCCAATACTGCTAGTATTGTGTGCTCAATTCCCCTACTTATCAATACTTATAGTGCCGGTTGTTTGTTGAGTTAATGTCTTTTATGAAGAACACTTCCAGTACTATAATAGCTCTACTCGCATTGACCTAAGTTATTATTTTCATATTTGTTCTTGTCAATACTGGCATTGTCACTTCTATACCAGTACTAATATTAATTACGAGACTGTATTTTTCGTATTCACTTCTTTGAGCTTCAATTCAAGGTTTATCTCATTCCTTTCCACTTTTGTAAGCTGTGTTAGCCTTTTGTTCATCTAGAAGCTTTCTAAACATAACTTTGGTTGATTCAAACACTTTTTATCTCTTACTCCTTCATTGCTACCCATTTGCATTTAGCTCTGCTGATATTCTTTTACCTACTTTATATTAGAGTATTAAATGCATATGGCTGTTTATTTCCTTACTTGTCATGAGCGAGAAACTCAACCAAAAATCACTCTAACAGCATTTATCAACCTTGATTGTAAATACGCTCATTTATGAAAAAAGACACAAAAGAATTATTATATGAACTTAAACATTCAATTCATTAGCTACCTTCTATGATTACATTTATTGTATTTGCACTTCATTGATTGTAAATCAACTCTTAAGGAGAGTATTTGCTATAGTTGTTCACTTTGTGAACATACTCTATTCATCCCTATTTTTCATTCTAGAAATAGAGACTTTAAGCTCAAGAAGTTTAAGTTGGTTATATTATTACCTTTGTAAGGAAGAGTGATATAGATTTTAGTTTGGGATTGTATTGAGACAACCAAGAGTCGGATTGATCTTGGTAGAGTAAGTGGTTAAAAAATTTCAAATATAACCTAGAAACTGGATGTAAGCTTAAGTGGTTAGGACTAAATTAAGATAAACACTTGTTCAACCTTCTCTTTTCACCCTTGATTATTTGGTGATATCTTTTCTCCTCTATTTCATTTAATTTACTTGTTATCTGTAAAAATTTTGACTTGCCCAATTTATCCCCCCTCTTGGGCATTTTACATATTATATAGGAAAAATGATAATAAAATCCTTTTAAATTACATAAATGACAATTTAGTCCCCTCAAAAATTCAAAACTCCACTAAAGTCTTTAGGGATTTCTTTGTCAATAAATTTTAAATTGAAAAGATCATTTTATCTTTATTGAGAAGTTGTGATTTTTTATTCAATTCTTACTATTTTTTGAAGAAAAGTTTTGATTCTTTAAACAAAAATTGTGAACGGGATTCATTATTTTGAGAACTTATTTTTAATAATAGAAATTACACTTGATAAATTATAATTTCTTAATCAACTTTTGTGATTCATAAAGAAAAAGTTGTCATTCTTTAAGTAAAAAGTAGCTTGTTTTTAGTAACAAAAAGTACATTTAATAAGTTGTGATTTCTTATTCAACTCTTGCAATTTATAGAAGAAAAGTTGTGATTTTTTAAACAAAAGATGTAATTGGGAGTTATTATTTTTAGTAAGGGTAAAATAATCTTTCTCTAAAAATAATTATTGACAAAGAGGTTCTTAGAAATTTTATTAGAATTATGACCTTTTGAGGGACCAAACTATCATTTATAAAATTCGAAGGGATTTACTGTCATTTTTCCTATTATATATATATATATATATATAATTTTATTTTCCAAACCAAACTTGTCAAAAAAACAAAAAAAAAATTGTAGTTTAATTAGTAAAGTGCGTGGAGTTATTAAAATCCAGAAAATTTTTAAATTTTAAATCAATTGAATTTAAACATAATTTTTAGTGGGGAGAATAATAGTTAGGTCTCAGAGGAATGAATTAATGATATTAGGTTCTTGATAAAATTTTCTATAAAATGAATTATAAATATTAATTCAAACAGTTACAAATAAAATTTTTTGTTACAATCTAAAAATTAGATTTGATATTTAAATACTTATTTATAATTAAAACTCTTAAATTTGTAATAATTTGAATTGATATTTTTAATTTATTTTTCAAAAACATTTGTCGGGCACTTAATTGACTTTAATTTAGTGATTGGGACCAAATTGTCAGTCTCCCTTTTTAAGTGGAGCAACGTGGTGTATATTTTCAAATTAAATAAGATAAACTGATTGCATCATACAATTGGATTACAAAATCGTGGAGATACAGTAAAAAATTTAAAAAAAAATTGTCCAATAACTAAACATCTATATGAATTTGAAATACACACACTCTACTTTATATGATTGAAATTTTTGGAAATCACCATAATAGACCAATAAGTCAAGTTTATGGTGTGATCTGTATCTAAACTGTAAACTTTGCATAATTAACTATATAAATCTTTAACTCAAATAAATATAAAAAAAATACTTATTTGAATTTGTGATATGATTTATATATAAATTGTAAACTCTGCTTAATTAACTATATAAGTTTTGAACTAAAATAAATATAAAAAGAGAATAGTCCTTTTTAAACCCAGAATATTTTTTCTAACTAATCCTTTGATGATTTATTATAGATTATACATTTTTTTAAATGGATTATTTGTTATTTGATTTGAAAAAGGGTCACATGGCACAATTTAAAGTACTGAAAAAGAAACATGTGTCACAATTTAATGTATCCACAAAAAGACACGGCATATACGTAGCTTGTTATCTTACTTATATATATATATATATATATAATAATAATAATTTAAATAGATAGATATTAATCTACATTTGGATTTTTATATATATATATACTATACACTTGATCATATGAACCTTACTTATGGCAAATCCTTAGGATAGATAGAAGTTTTCAAAAATCATGAAGACAGATCAGAAATTTTAAACACATGTTCTTTTTTTTTTCTAAATTTTTAAGTAGATATATATATATATATATATCAATTTAAATTCAAATATGATTACATTTGAATTTCAAATAGATAAAATTTAATTTTGTAATACATATAGAAAATGAAAAATCATCTTGAATATAACTCCAAACATGAATATTCTATTTTATATACATATAAAAATAATAAATCATCTTGAACTTTACTCCAAACTTAAATTCAAAAGTTCAAAATCATAGGAAAGACATCCCAAAATATAAAATTGTAGCAAACCAAAAAATAGACACATATTATTCATACATAGCCTTTCATCCCAATTATATATATATAATGATTGGATGTACATATTAATCTTTCACAATTTTTTTTATTTGACTTTTATCATTTTTATTTTTGAATGGAGTCTAACTGCATGCACTACTTATTAAAATCAATACGTTTGTATTTATTTTATATGATAGATGGATTCTTTTTTCCCCCAATGCAAATTAAACTTTTATTCCAAAAACCAAAGTCCAATAACAGTAGTATTGCGACAATGAAAACGAAAATCTAAAGCAGAATCTGTACAATAGTCAACAACAAACCAAGTTCAAAAGAAAACATGCAGCAATATGCATAAGAATCAGCCAACGCCCAAACGATCGATGATCATCCACTACCAGGTAAACTTATCAGACTTGCCAGCTCCCACAGCATCCAAGGCTAGAATGCCAGGCAGAGGAAGTGGTGGCAAATTTGCCCCTAAACTACAGGTCTATAAGTATTTGGCATCCTAAACTTGTTTTTAGTACATTGTTTCCTTTTAACTTTTTAAAATGGTGTGATATTACCCCTACCATTGACAAATATTAATTTTGACTGTTATTATTTGAATTAAAAATTGTAGAAAAGGACCAAGAAATTTTCTTGGTCCTTGTTTGTAATTTGTCCTTCTATGTAATTTTTCGATCATATTTTGAGGCATTTTTTTGTAATTTTCTTGTCAACTAAAATAATCAAAACTAACTTTTATTAATGGTAAATGTAACATCGTACCATTTTTTAAAGTTGCAGGGAAACATTATATGAAAAATGAGTTTAGGATTCTAGACACTTTTAGATCTAAAGTTTAAGGGTGAAATTATTCTTTAATCCTATTTTATATGACATTTGGATTCAAGGAGGCAAATTCAAGCAGCTCATGGTTAGTCTCAAACAAGGCCATATCTTGTGGATTCAAACTCACCCATGCTTCGACCCCCTTTCCATCACTTGTATCCATCAAAATAATTAAATTATTCATCTCCAGAGGAGGAAGGCTCACCCACTTGGGCTTTCCCCACCCAAAATCTACTTCATAAAACGCAAAATTGCACCAGCTCGAGCACATGTAGAAGTCTCTACCCTCTTTTTCCAATTCAATCTCCTTCACTGCCTCACTCATTAACGAGAAAGCATCTCTGTCTTGAAGTTTCATGAGACATTTCTTTGAAAATTGTTCCAGAGCATTCCTCTGCTGAAGCACCAACCATTTTAAGTCTATGTCAGTACTTTCATTGGTCTCTTCTAGTTTCACTACGACGTGACTTATGAAGTTGCCGACAGATGTCTCAGGTAAAGGTGGCCTTGTCCTTTTACGAAGATTTACTGCTTGGGATACCATGGAAGGTCTCTTGGTTATTCCTTGGCTTGTTCTTGATGCTATTATAGCACATTTCCATATTAGTGCTAATACTGCCTCCACTCGGCTAGGTTGTTCGACTATATTGTTAGCAGCTTTGGCCTTTAGTTTTGTGATCTTTGAGGAATCAAACACAAACCTGCGTACGCAATTTAATTTGCTATCTCACGTCAACAATATATATTTTCTATTTGATATGAATGGGTTCCATGTTAATGAAGTTTATTAGGAAAAAATATATATACAACTCAATCATATATAACTATGTAACTATGATTCAATTCACACTTTGATTTTTTTTTTAGGATAAATTTTAATGAGTACCCCTTGACTAGATTTAATTTCAGTGGGGGGACTGAAATAAAATTAAAAAGATGAGTAAAATGATCTTATTGTCCTTGGTGAAGTTAGGATAGAAACAACTTGTGTAAGGAAGTTAATAACTTATGTATGAAAAATGAATGACTGATGTAGGTGTAATGAGAGTTATAAATTCTACCTATATCAATAGTTTATTTTTCATACATCAGTTGTATATGAGTTGTTTATGCATCTACCTTTATCAAAGATAATATGGTCATTTTAGTTAGCTTTTTAATTTTATGTTAATCCCCACATATATAGTAAACTTTCAGAATTTCCGTGCGTTGACTGAAATTAAATCTAGTTAAGGGATCATCACTAAAATTTTCCTTTTTACTTTTTACTTTAAGAATAGAAAGAATGGCATGTCGATTTTACCTCAAAATAATAGAGCTTAAATCATATATATTTTATTTAATGATCAGGACAAAAAATAAAAAGTTCACTTGATCACATTTGCTCAACAACTAATTCTATTAGGGAAGCTCTTCGGATTCCTAAAGTTGTATATTTCTGAGTCTCTAAAAACAAGTTTATTTGCCACCTCAAAAAGAAATAAATTTTAATTCTGAGGGTTGAAATCATCAAGATTTGAAATTTCTCATTAAAACATAAAAAAGTTAATGAAAAAAATAATACAAAAAAGGATTTTATTTTCGCCGGTTGAACTAAATAGAGGTGAAAGTATGATCCATGTTAATGAAGTTTAGTTTGAAGAAAAAAAAAAGTATCTATAGCTTAATCATATTTAACTATATTGGTATCATTCAAGTCACCCTTCGACTCCTTTTTTTTATATAATTATTATTATTTTAAGAATAGAGAGAAAAAGGAAAGAAAGGCAGACACGTTGGTTTTACCATAAAATGATCGCTGAAGTTGAGAAATATAAGCCGTGAAGTTCAATAATATTTTATCAATTTTCCACATATGAAACTCATTTTTAGCCAAGAGGTAAAGCTATAATTTATATCGTTCTTTTATATCCTATGCTACTCCAAAATACTTTCATTGTGCTACATTTATTCCATGGGTTATGCTAAGATCAAGTTTAATTCTATTATCGATTAAAATCCTCTAAAGTTTTCTGCATTTGAGAGCATTTGAGCCATTGAATAAATCAGGTGATGATAGATGTGTTTGATTTTGATTCAAAGGCGGCAATATGAATGTAGGGAAATATAACAGTATAATGTATACAAAAGTGAGAAAAAATTTGGACCATTTGGCGTGAAATATTACAGTATTGAAACCATACAAACAAGGCACATGGTTTCATTTATTATGTGGCAGAATTATAAAGTTCATTTAATAAAACGCTATCAAACTTAGGAAACTTTGAAAATTGATCTTTCGAGGATTTTGATCCTTTGTCATGCCTTTCCTTAGACAAGTCTTATATATTTTATATTTATCTCCTTCCATAATTAATGATCAGGAAAAGAATTCTTACGTTTCCTTGACCAGCTAAGATCAGGTTCCTAAAGTTACAGATTTCGAGTCCCTAAAAACAAGACAATTTATTGCCTTTGAAAAGAAACTCATTTCTAGGGTTGAAATGGTCTAATTCAAGATTTGAACTTTCCCAACCAAAGGATAAAAAAGTTTTAGAAAAAGAAAAAACAAAAAATATTTAACGGGGGTGAATGTGTTGTGTAGAATATATAATACTTTCTCCATTTTTATTTGTAGAAAAAAAAGCTGTATTATATAGTTTAAGAAAATCAATTAATTATATTAAGTTTGTCTGAAAATAAAAAAATTAGACTATAATATCCTTTATTAATTGTATTAATCAAGTTTTCATTAATTATTTTTTATAACTATAAATAATAAAATTATAAAGGGTAATTTAGAAAGTTTGCGATAAATGCCTATTAGATAATGTGATTTTACTTATGTGAAAAAAAAAACTAAAAATGATAGTTCTTTTAATAAATAAAAATAGAAGGAGTACCTTCTTGTGATGCACAAATTGATGAAGTCTCCTAACGTGATAGGTGATGCAGCAATCGGAGAATCCATCGAAGCATAAAACGATCTGAAAATATTATACTTCGGAAGCATCGCCGCAGTCATGCACCCAAAAGCAGTACAAGACCAAGCCTTGATGAACGAAACAATCGTTGAAGCATCAGCAATCTTGTGAGACACAGACACACCAATCACCATTCCCCCACAATCAAACAAATTCACTTGAACTTTCAATAAAAACCCACTTCCTAACCCGGCATCATCGCCTGGCATAAACTGTTTCATAGATTCATTGTTGGGTTGTTTAAGGATGTCTTCGAGGAAGCCATGAACACGAGCTTTGCAAAACTCAACACCTTGGTCTTTACATTCAATTATTGCATTGTCTTTGATTCTTCCAGCCAGAGGGTAGAAGTAGGTCAGAGTCTCAGACAATGACGTCTTTAGCCTTTCACACCATTCTTCAGCAATCTTGTGATGATGACTAACTTTGTTTGCCTCGCATTGATCAATATTGGGATAGAAAAGTAGAATTGTAGTATACATGCCATCAATATTCATCTGGTCCTTGTAATATAGCTTAAAAGTTGCATGGCTTTGGGGTGTTGGAGATGATGGCTTTATGATTTGTCTGGACACAAACTCAACCTTCATCATCTTGTGGCTTGAAACTAGTCTGAATTTCACAATGGCTCAGAAGCTCAGGCCACTCTAATGCCTCAATATAGAGGCGAAACCAAGAATCACCCGCATTAATGACAAAAATCCTAATATTTGATTTTTAACTTATCATATACACATCCATGGATGTTATGATAAGATCCTAATAGTTTTATTATTGAGTAAAATACAATCATCTCTTTTTTGTTTTGCTAAAATTACAGAGGACCCCCTTTTATTTTCAAAATTTACATTTTAGTCCAATTTTTAACACAAGTATAAATATAAATATTTTAATTTGAAATACTTAATTTTTTATTTATAATTATGTTGAAAATTTTAAAATCCTTAATTTTCTCTTTTGATCTAATTGTCCTCTCTATGTGTGTGTGAATTTAGAAAACTTTACATGATTAAGTATGTCAATATTTAAATAATAATCTAAAATTTTGTGTTAAAATTAATGAGATTTAAATAAAAATAAATATAAATTATATTGAGTAATTTATTATATTAAATAATTATTTCATTAAATTTTTTTAACTTCATGTTTGAATATTTCTTTAGAAAATTTATATATTTAATTTTTTAAAAATTACTAAATAAATACATTTACATCACTAAAAACATTTAAATTCAAATAAAAAAGTAAAAAATATGTGCAATATTTTTTGGATAATTTAAATGATTTTTAGATAATATTTATATTCAAAGAGGGGTATTTTATCCCAACATATGTTACTTAATAACCAACCAACAGTTGGATGGATGGAAATGAAACCTTCAAAATAGATAGGGTTAATGAGCAAAATAGATTCTGAAGTATTGCATGAAAAGCGCCTTAGACCCTAAACTCTTAAAATGTGCATAATGGACTATACTTTTAAATTCATAGCAAATTAAACCTTACTATTAACCTTTTTTAATGTCATTATAGTTCATTTATTAATTAGCATCACAAACCTTAAACTATTATGTGAGTAGCGTACTAGACCTTGAACTTTAAAATTTTAAGCAAATCATCTCCACCGTTATATATAAAATGTTGACTATTATGTAGATTAAATTAGTCTCAATGTGGTCCGCCGTGATAAATGCATCATTGGCCATGGCAAATGACCCATAATTTTGTAAATAGACATTTTTGCCCCTTTTTTACAATATTTTTCAAACGATTAGTATCTTACACTTCTGTATACTCTATAAGTCTAATTTAGTCTTATTTTGAATAATATTTATTCATTTAATGGTTAATTCTTGGGATCCTATTGGAAAAGAAGTTTAAATATTAGAGATTTTTAATTAACTAATTAATTTAGGTTTTACATTCATTAATGAAATCGTCGGCCTTAACATCCATCATTTGTAAAATCCTCTAATGCTTAAACTTCTTTTCAAATAGGATCCTAAGTTTTCACCATTAAATAAATAAATATTATTTAAAATAAAACTAAATTAGAGTTATAGAGTATAGGAAGTATGAGTACTAATTGTTTGGAAAACATTTCAAAAAAAAGGGGGGCAAAAATGTCATTTCACAAAATTATAGGTTAATCGCCACGACCGATAATGTGTTCACCATGGTAGACCACACTAAGATTAATTTAGTCTATATAATAGTCAATGTTTTATAAATAAATGATGGGAGTAATTTGCTTAAAATTTAAAGTTCATGGTCCAAAATGCTACTCGCATAATAGTTTGAGGTTTTTGGCACTAATTAACAAATGAACAATAACAATATTAAAAAAATTTAATGGTAGAGTTTAATTTGTTATGAATTTAAAAGCTTAGGATTTATTTTACACATTTTAAGAGTTAAGATTCATGATACTTTTCACGCAATACTTCAAGCCCATTTTGCTCATTAATCCAAATAGATATGCTTGTATTTTGTAACTATTCATATTCGAGGAAGTTTGTATAGGTTTCAAAAATATGAGAGAGTATATGTAATTAAGGTGAAATAAAGAGAAGGTTAGAAAATTTTACTCTTTATCATTTGTCCTTTATTATATGATTTTTATCATTATTTTCATGATAAAATTTGAATTACAATGGATTTGAAAATGAACTTCATAACTCATCCATATGTCATCGTCTTTGAAAGAATATTATTTTAATTTTTTTTACTTTTCATTTTCAATATTAAAATAGACACGTGCATTTATATTATTATTTTAATTTCCAATTTCCAATTTTCATTAGAGACAAAATTATTTGTCCATAGCATTTTTTTTAAATCAAACAAGACTGGGCCAGTTTGGTCAATTAGACTAGGAACCAATCATAAGTTTGGTTTGGATATTTAGTGGAACCAAGGTTTTAAAAATTGGATCAATGATGGCATAGGTCAAGATAGTGGTTTACAATTCATTAGTCAAACCATGATCGATTTGGAATAGTTGTTAATAAATTAACATACATTAAATTTTACATATTGAAATGATATGACTGTAAGTATAAATGTATACATAGGTTGGTCATTTACCAACTTTATACAAGAAAATTGAAACTAAATTTTAATAATATTTATTTAAAATAAGAGATAAATAACTTGAAATCCAAATTAGAAGTATTTGTCCACATATTAAGAAAAACTAATAAAGTATCCGTACGATGCACATATCATATGCAACAATATTTTTAAAATAAGTGTTAACTTTATAGAAAGATTTTTTCTGAAAAAATAACTTATAGTAGACCCTTCCATATTAAATATGCATATTAGAGTATAACAAATAATAAAACCTAAAAGCATACTGTGTGAATAGGTATGTATAATCAAAAATAGATTAACAAAAATTCATAGTTATTTAGGTTAAATTATTGAAGTCATTCCTATGAACCAATATTTTTAACATACCTTTCCTCCTTTGAACAGAAGAAACCACGACGTATAATTGGTTGAGTGAAAATAGGACAAGACAAGTAAAAACTAACATGACACAAGTTCCAGTCTTAGCTCTTATTAATGATATCATTACAAAGGCCAATGTAATAAAAATTGCCTCCTTCTCATAGTAAATGGTAACCTAGAATCAAATAGACACATAGCAATATGCAATATACATACTTTTGCCCTTACATTTGATTTAGACATTGCTTGGATCTCAATAACATGTTTTTAAATTGTGTAATTATGCAACTATACCATTGCACAACTCCATAAATTTATCAATGTTTCACATTAAAATAATCAGGGCACCCACTTTGAGCCTTATTTTATGATTTAGGAGGCCTAACATTGCAATTGAATTTAAAAAATCTTTAAAGTGTAGGTTACAAGTGAATTCATGTTCCATCATCTTTTACAACACTATTAGAGTTTAGTACACAACTTTCTTTTTAGGGAGCAATGATAACATATACCTATTTACTACTTCAATCACAACTAAGGAAGGAGCTAATATAGCCCAATTTCTAAAATATAAAATTATAGATATTGTTAAGAAAATCATTCTTAATTTTTGTTTTCAAATTTTTTTATCAATTTTTTTAATTTATATTACGATCCACAAGCAAATTCCAGGTTATAATTTTTTATTTTAAATTTTTTTGTTCAATTATTCATTCCTTCTAGCACACCATTATTGATGAAGGAATGAGTTTTGGATATCATAGGGCTATTAGTTTTTTTAGTGTTATATATGCATATTTTTGTTTTCTGAAATAAAAGTGCACGTAGAGTTTTCGATAAAAAAAACACATACATGGTATTGTGATTAATTTTGAAATTTTTATTACTAAATTATTTTCAACCACCACTTCTATATCCCATCCTTTGGCACACAACTTCCATCTTTATCATATTTATCAATTACAACAATACCCTATAGAAGGATTTGAAAAGTGAAAAGTGTTTTTATTGATTTTTCTTCTCCTTCCTCATCCTATTTTTACTTGTTAAACTTTTTTCTTTTATTTCTTACTTGATGATAATAAAATTTGATTATTATTATTTATGTTAAAGATGATAAAAATAAATTTTAAAAATAATATATTTAAGCAAGCATAAATATAAGCTTTTAAAAAAAAATATGTGACAGGTTGATGAGTTGGGTTGAGAAAATCATGGCCCATTAGAGAGCATGCCTTTTCAATCCACACATATCAACCCATAACTGATGAGTTGGCCCATTTTTCCAACGCTATTTTTAATCAAAGTTGAACAAATTAGTCTCATGGCCTTGTGTAATTGTAGTCATGTGAAAAACAATATGAATTAAATGATAGAAGATACAAATAAAATAATTAGATCTTATAATAATTTACTTCTTCAATAAGTGTATTTTTTATTGTCTAATATCTAATTATATAATATGGAATAATATGGTTAATTTTTTTTTGTTTAGATTATATACTTTAAATGTATTGATGGGATTGAAATATAGCCAAAAACTATATTTAGATATTTATTATGTTCAAATTGAAATTAATATGAAAATAATATATGTTATACTCATTTAATTTTTGAATAATTAAATTTTACATGACGATATAATGATTCAGTAACATGTTGAAAAAAAGTTTATTTAATTTTAAAAATTATAAATGCAAATGAAATTAAAATTTAGGATTTAAAATAATTAGATCTCATAATACTTTTTAGTAATCAGGTTTTATATTCAATTCAAATGAAATTGGATTATGGAGGATCGAGGAAATTTCAAAGGCTACTTAAATTCTTAATGGTTACTCCCTCTATTTAAAAATATAAGGCATTTTTAACCGAATCTACTCTCAATAAGGTAGTTACCTATTTTCAAACTAACCATACTTTTTCATATTTATCCCTATTCAATACCCTACAATGAATATAAAGTTTTTATCAATAGAGGCACTTTTAAAAAAAAAGTCAATGATTACACTTCAAAAGACTAAAACTTTCTTACATTTTTTAACATCCAACTCTTCAAAAAATGCCTTACATTTTATAACAGAGGGAGTATATAAATTTGTGTAATTAGTTTTAATTGCATGGATTTAAAAATATT